TTGACCTACGGAATGATTGGAAGCTTGACCTACGGAATGATTGGAAGCTTGACCTACGGAATGATTGGAAGCTTGACCTACGGAATGATTGGAAGCTTGACTCATCACGCTTTGTTGATCGAATTCAATCTCTTCAGTTCTTAGAATCATCGCATAACGTTGATTTATTTCACTTTGAAGAGTTACGATAGAAGCATTGATTGATTCGAATTCGGTTGCGACTCTACCAAAATTGTTATGGTAGTTTTGAAGAACTTGTTCGATCTCATCAAGTCTCACAGTAGAAGTATTAAGCATTGTCAAGATTCTTTGGATCTCCACTGTAAAGTCTTCGTCATGTGAGGTAATTTCAGCTACGAGTCTGGCATCACGATTGGCAAGCTCAGTAGTGATTCGGGCATCACGATTTGCAAGAATTCGACATCATCTTGTAATTCATGATCGGTCTAAGAAAGATTTCCACAATTAGCAATTATTTGAATAGTAATAATTGAGCATAATGTGGATATTACCTCGTTGCCCGTTTCGTTGGAAATATCTTGTTCAATTTCCGATTTCCGCAAAAACAGATTGAATGATTGTCGTTCGGAAGGACTTTGGAAGATGTTGTCGATCTCGTTATTTAATCCTACATAAATATAAGGGACAACATTAAAATAAATTGCAATTTAAACATTAGCTATTTCTGCTGATCCTCGACTTCTAGCTAACAAAATATATCGTACTTTTCCCGATCTCTTTTTGATTCGGATGATCTAGCAATGAACCCATTTATATTTCCAACTCTTCCGATTGTTCCGTTGTTTACAGCCCCATTGATCGTCCCATCTACAAACATCGGCTGATGGAGATGGAGCACACACGAGAGCGTTCTCTTTCCCATTTTTTTGCTATTTTACCATCGGATCCCTAACATGAACGAGAAATTAGTAATATTCTGACTAATAGACCTAAACCAAATTTGATTTTTCCATCCCATTCAAACATCAACTAAACCTAAAGATTAACTGTGCCCTCACGGGTCCAGCACTGGCTCGACCTAAAGACTTGAAACATCAGGCGAACCTAAAGATCACCTGTGCCCCAGCACTGGTTTGGTGGCTCGACCTAAAGACTTGAATGACAAAGAAACCTGAAGATTCCCTGCCACGCCACTTACTCTATCTACATTCAATAAAAAAAGAACTTCTACTTGCCTCCCTATAATCATTCAGGAGAAGTTGTGCCCTTTCTTGCCTCATTGATGGTCTCGAGACTTTTTAAATACAACCAATCTTCAACTGAAACGGTTCCTCCTTACTTTCGTTTAAAAACTCGGTAATGTTCCATTCTGTACATTTTCGCTTAAAAATAATCGTGTATTTTGGGACGAGACATTTTACTGACTTCAGACATGGTTAAAAAAATTTTTTATGGGTCACACAGATCAGCTATTTCAAAGTCACGTGATTATTATCACATAGCGAATCGGAAAAAAGAGGGAGGGAGTACGCGGATCCTAGGCCATTTTAACGCGAGTCTTAGCATCAAGTTATTTCTTTGCTCTCTCAAATTTTCGAAAAATATCTATAACTAATTTGTTCCTATCACAACTATTAACTACAAGATTCTCATCTCCACACCCTTTTACTATACTAGATTTCCGAAATAAATTATCCCACCCATATTTACAGAATTTTTGTCTATCTATATCTCTCCCAAATATAGTGAAACAAGCTGACAGATCTTTATCAGCCAGCCAGGCTGGTCGACCAGGTCGACCTGGCTGATTATCAAAGTATATTATACAGCATATTTTTATTACCATATTTATTTAGTGTCACTTATTACGTTTTTTTTTATTAATTTTTTTTTTGTAGTTCTATCACTATTTAAATATAACACTTTCAAGATGTGGATGTACCGTATATTAAAAAGCTTTGAATTATGTTTTAAAAAAAGAATATCATATACACAATCAGGATTTAATCGATTACGTTTTTTGTAATCATATTACCAGCATCTGAATATAATCTTTCAGAAGGAACCAAAGAAGCAGAAATTGTTAGATATTTGTGTACCAACTTAGCATAATTAGGAAATGTTTTACTATGAAGTTTTTATCAAGTAAATGAATTTTCAGTAATATATATTGAATCATTAAAAGGGTGAATTGGAATTTGTAATATTGTAGAATATAATTGCATTTCATTTTATATAGAAGAAATTTTCTCATCAAAAAGATAATTAAAAAATCTATCTTGACTAACAATCATAGATATTGTACTTAGTGAATTACTTGAATTTTCCAAATTTTCCATTGTTTGTTGTATTTTTGCAAAAATTTCCATTCATTTTTCCTTGTCTACAAATTTCATATTTTTGAAATATGGATTAAAATATGAAGAATAAAAGTCCATTAATAAAGTATCATTTCAACATTTTTTTATTTTTAATTATTATGATAGTTTGATCGTTATGAGATTTGAAATTAGAAAGATGAATTTGAAGTTTAAATATTGCTGGATACATCATGCTTAGTGTTGAATATTGATTTCTGCTAATAATTTCTATAATCTGAACAAATGGTTTTAATAAATCTAATAAGTCTTATAATATAAGCCATTCATTATTATTTAATAATAATAATTTTAAATTATTACCATCTTTTTGAACTATATAACTAGAATCATTTTTAAAAATTGTAACTAAAAAATTTATAGTACCCTGAAGAAAAATGAGATTAACATAGTATAAGTATTGTTTTATCTTGTTTTAACATTACGAATAGGTTTAAGAACTCTTGAATTTGATTGCATATCATTATTTACTAGTTGTTGTACATATTAAAGAGTTTTATAATACTTGTCATGATTAAGTAAAGCATTATTTAATGCTTTAGCTTTCTTGATAAATTTATAACATTCTTTGAAACTTTTATTACTTACAAATTGAAAAGTATAAGCATAACAGGTAATATGTTAATAATTAAATTGTTATAATGCAATTATTATATTTTTTGTACTATTATTAATTCCTGCAATTATTTTATCTATGATGTTCTATTTTTTGAATAATTGATGAAGAAATTCAATAATTCTATCACTAGAATGTCTATAAGAAAATTCTTTGATTGTTAAAAGATTTTAACAAAATTCAAAATATAAAGTTAACCAATAAATTATTACACCAATATATAGAGTATGAAATTGGATCCAAAGATTAGTTGTAAAGCTACAAGTTTTCATTGAATTACTAATTTCATAATATAATTAATCTTCTGTAAATATTGCTGATTTCATAATATAATTGATCTTTTGCGAATATTACATATTCATTTAATTTTGTTTTTATTGTATTAATGCATGATACAAGAAATCTTTTATCTAATACCCCATATAAACTAATAAATGTTGGAGTATTAACTATATTGAAAGGTTATAAATT